AGGCTCCCTGCAGAGAGCCCGATGTGGTACTCAATCCCAGGACCCTAGTATTATGCCCTGAGCTGAAGGCAGACACTTAACTGCTAAGACACCCAGGCGTTCCAAGAGTCCTGTTTCTTTTCACAATTGTATTTCATTTTACATAATCTCCAAGTGAGTTATGTAGTTCCAATAACAAGTGTAACTGGCATCCAGACCTTTGGGAACACAACTGATTGCTGGCATACGTGCTAGGTGGAGAGAGCAGAGGGTCCTCACGGTGGGCAGGGCCTTAAGTGGAGGTGGATTGAAGGAGCCTTCTCACTTCCTTCAGTTTTACCGTCTGACAGACATGCATCTTAAATTTTTTCTAGGTGCTCTTCCTGGGATGCGTTTAAGGGAGATTTCTCTGCATATGAATATCCTGGCTAGGTAGAGCCAGTATCTTTGTATGTCTACACTATGCACATCACTGACCATGTTTCAGGTGATCCAGTGTCCTGGTGTTGCCTCTTCTGCTACCTAGCACTGCCCATACTAATTTTACCCACTAATTCCCAGAAAAATTCTAGTCCTGGCTTAGTGTACCAGGAGGCCATGGGAGGTATGCAAAGCCAGAGTAGTACTGAGCATGTTTGTTAGTAAAACCTGGTTAGATTTACCATTGTTCTTGATCCTTTGTGCTTTAAAATTACAGGCTTGTTTTAAGGTTTGTTGCATGACAAATTGTGTTACAGCACTTAGAGCTTATAGTTAATTAGGGTTCAAAATACTGTTTTGAATTTTTAGCTTTTTTGACCTGGCATTAAATAAAGTAGGATAGTCCTACTTGAGAAATGACTTTATGTATATTTAGAAGTGCCACATAGACCTAACTTGAGCAAATCTAAATCTGAATTTATTATACATGTCCAAGTTGGCTTCTCAAATCTAACTGGGGCCAGGTTCTCCTCTGCTGACACTCTAGTAGTATCTACGCATGCATACATGTGCATATGTGTATGTATGTGTGCATGTATCTGCATCAGTCTAACCAGTTAGGAGTATGTGTCTATATATATGGAGTTGCAGCCTCCCTGGGACCAGCGATGCTCTTGCTCCTTCCATTCAGCTTCAGTTCCCATACCACCAGACATACTCTCTCATGCTTGCAGTCCAAATTCCTAAAAGAAGTGAACTAATTTGGTGTTTGATGCTGAGACCCTCTTGCCAGGCCCTGCACAGGCCTGGAGACAAGCCACCCTGAGAACAGGGCACTGTTCCCAGTTCAACCAGGTGAGACCAGGCCAGGGAGAGGTTGCCCAATTCAGAACATGGCAGCCAGGCAGCCAGCACTAAGGGCAGGGCAGTTTCCCTTAGATTATAGGGCAGCATGAAAGACAAACGCTGCCATCACTTACTCAAAGGGATGTTTATGCTCATACAGGGGGTCCTCACTTGGCATCATTCCAGTATACACAAATTGCCATTACTGTGATAGAGTTAAACATCAGTCCCCGATCACAAATTTGTTACTTTATGAATTAGTTTGCTAGGGCTCCAAGAACAAAATAAACTGGGTGGCTTCAAGAATAGAAATTGACTTTCTCACAGATCTGCAGAGTCCAAAATCAGGGTCTCCATAGGGTTGGTTTCTTCTGTGGCCTCCTTCATCTTCTAGATCCCATCTGCTTCTCCCTATGTTTTCACATGGTCTTCCCTCTTTGTTCCAGTCTCCTCTTCTTACAGGGATACGAGTTGTGTGGAATTCAGGCTCACCCTCATGACCTCTTTCTACCTTAATTACCCTTTAAATTTAGGCCCTGTCTCCAAATACAGTCACATTCTGAGACACACTGGGGGTTAGGACCTTGCCGTATGACTTTGGGAGGGGACGCACCACAGTATATCATAGTATTATTGTACTTCATTGTATAAAGCACAGACTTTGCTGCTAGTTCTTTAGCCCATACTATGAAAGTAACCCATGTACATCATGTTGCAAGACCACTCCCATCACTTCTTTCAAAGTGTGTTGGTGACTTGTCACTTAGTACCTGTTACTCAGTCAAGGAATAGACAGTGAAGCATGGGATTATTGTGCCTCCTTGTACCCCGGTGATACACCCACACAACGTTCCAACCAAAGTAGATCGTTAAGAGCAGGGATTGGCCAACAGAGGCAAAAGTGCAGCAAAAACCAGAACAGCACAGAAAGTGAAATTGGACAGGACTAGAAGGCTTGAAAATGTGGCACCAACTGTGAAGACAAGAGAGTCTTGCAGGAAACTCCACTGTAAACCATATGGGGGGTGGGGAGCATCTGGATGGCTCAGTTGGTTAAGCATCCAACTCTTGATTTCAGCTCAGGTCATGAGCTGGAGTCTGATGCCATGCTCCACACTGAGTGTACAGCCTGCTTGGGATTCCCTCTCTCTCCCTCTACCTCTCTACCCCTCCCATTTCACCCACTTCTTGCACTCTTTAAAAAAAAGAAAACATGGAAAAAGTCTGATGAATTAAAAAAAAAAAAAAACTCAAGTCATCCAGTGTATTTTAGTTTAAATTGAATTGAAGCATTTACTTTGAATTGAGGACTTTTGTGTGTGTGTGTGTGTATGTGTGTGTGTGTGTGTGTGTATCTCCCCCAATCAATTTGGCTAGTGTTCAGGCCGAAGTGTTGAAGTTAACTTTGAAAGAGAATAGTGATTATGAGGAGACAGAAAAAGAGCCTTTTCTGCCAGGAAAGGTTGGTTTCATGTTTCAGAAGCCGAAGTTGGCGTGAACTGAGTGGGTTGGTGGTGCCTCCAGGGCAGACAGGGCTCTGCTGTGAAGTGTGTACCCAGGTTGCAAGGGTGAGTTCAGGCCACCAGTTCCAAGGATCATCCAGTATTGACTGCTGAGGAAACAGGTCTTTGCTGAAAGACCCCTCTGTGGAGAATTTAAGAAAGCTGTAAGGTTGTAGAGTGACCATAAAGGAGGATCTGGATACTCAGCCAGAGGAACTTCGTTGAAGGTGAACTTAGCAAGGTGAATGAGGAAAAGTGCTTAAAGAAAAGGATGAAGAGACAAACCAAGCCCTCTGCATCCAAGGGTTCATCTGAAATATTTCACAACATTGAGGGGGCAAAGGGTAAAATGTTGGAAGCTGATCCTTGGCAATTTGCCAAGGCCTGGGAACAAAGCTTATTCTATATCCTAGGTTATTTGATGAGAAGAGGAAGGCAAATGCTTTAAAACAAAACAAAACCTCTTAAGGCTTGTTTCTAGTGTGTTAAAGTTCATGTACTAAATAGATATTCATGTTACTATGTTTCACATTTTCTTGTGCACATATTATGGACATAAGAGTTTTTAGTTTTTCAACATTCATTTGTAAGGGGCATGGAACAATCACAATTTCCTGATTATTAGACTGGCTTTTGGCAGTTTCAACTTGAATGGTCATCTTTTTAATGGTCCCATACTTCCATGCAAAGCAAGATTGCACATGTGTGTGCACATGTGGATCTTTTTTGCTGAGAGTCAAGATGTTATGTATGTATGGTGTTAAGGCTTTAGATGTATTATTCACCTAAGTTTACACACATAATCAGCCTTTTCCTGGCGGTTCAGAGTCTTCATTTGTGCTGTAAAGTAGAAAATACTATGGTTCAGGGTGTGTGGCTTATGCAGCCTAACTTCCAGAGCTGAAATCCTGGCTCTGCTTGCTTACCTTTTTGTCTGACCTGGAGGAAGATGCTCCATCTCTCAGACCCTCCAGTTTCTCACCCATAACCTGAGCAGATAACAGTACCTGGCTCATAGTGTTGTTGCAAGGATTAAATGAGCAAATGTGTGTAAAGCACTGTGTGCCTGGCAACTGTGGAAACAGTAGGTGGTAGGGGCTGGTGGTGGTGGTAGTAAAAGCAGTGGAGGTATTCACGATGCCATGTATCTTCAGATGGATTGAAACTGAGGCTTTTTCCTCCATCAGACAGCCTCAGGCTGCAATGCTTTTATTTCTTCTTGTGTTCTGTTACTTATGTGTTCTCCTCTGTTAATTTGGCTTTTGCTGGTCTTTTTTTGCCTCTGTCTCAAGCAGAACAAGCGCCCTACTCTGAACCGCCCTCTTGTTGGGATTTGATGTTTTTCACCCACAGAGGGGCCATAGCTCAGAGAATTTGTCTTGTGGCAGTGTGGAAGCCCTGAAGAGGGCTCCGTTGCTCGTGGATGGCCTGTCACCGGCAAGCCTAGAAGAGAACCATTTATTTGGCTCAAGGGCCTGCAAATGAAGTTATACTCAGTCACTGTACACATTACTTGTCTGTCTCAAAAACATGTTAGTCTCTGTAAGCATTGAAATTATACCATAATCTGTTACCTTCTCTTGGCATTTCAGTTTTTATTTTTAATATACTGAGAACCTGAAGTACGAAGTGACCTAGGCCTTCCTGAGAAGCCTCGCATGGGGGATAAGTAGGTTATGAGTTATAGTAACTGATAAATGGTCTCCAGATTAAAAAAAAAAGGCAGAATTGTATTTCTTTTAATTTCCCATCATTTCCCTATGCCTCCTGCTGGCTCACAAATTCAGCTGGAGCATCCTGCTTGCCTAGCTTGTGAGAACAAAGGTGTTGGTGCATCATGTTGGTAATGTGGTAGGGTCTACAGGACCGAATGTTTCTGGGGCCACCCTCTACTAAATTTAAAAGTCATGCTCTGAACAGAGTACTGGGGCTTCATGTTCCCCAAAAGGTACCCTATAGGTTTAGTTGATCTTGTGGCTTAAATAATTTTAATACTTCCTATACTTTTTCCCCCCTCTTTCCACCCCAAAATTGCTTATACCTGAAATAGGGTTTACTTTGCCTCATCTGGATTGTGGAAGCTTACCTTTCCCCCCTACTTCCCCTACATTTCCTCAGGGAGCTTGCTGATGCCATTAGCGGGAAAGAGAACACCTTGGTTCATTTTTGCAAAAGTAATCTGAAGTCGTTAAACAAGAAACTGAAAAACTCGCTGTACTGAGAATTTGGTAAACAGCAGCTGCAGTCACTTACCTTAAAAGCCAGCACTGCCCATTTCAGTGGCCACCACCCAGGTGCCTATCAAATGAGTAAAGAAACCAGAGTCCACTAAATTAACAGGTCATCAATTAATTACACCACAATGAAAAAGAAAAAAAAAACCTATGCTGCTAAAAAAAAAAAAAAAACTTTTAGATCAACTCCTTTCTTTCCTTGAATATCTTAGGCATTTGTTAAAAAATGTAAAGTTTGTGAATAGATGGACCACTGTTTACAGGTATTTTCTTATATCCTGGGTATTTCCTTTAACAACATTTGAATGGATAAGGATCTTTGGAAAAGGCTTCCCGTCCCTGGCGAGGGGCAAGACAGAACGTGCTACCTGTCGAAATGCTATAAGGTCTGAGGTCAGAAGGAAAGCTAGCAAGATTTCACTGGTATCCTGTGTTGTGTGTTGAGGTAGTAGGAACACGTAGGAACCTGCCATTGGGTCTGTTTGTTTTTTAAGTATATACAGTTTGATCCCCCCCCCGCGCCCCACCCCAGCCCCATGATGTTTTTTTTTTCAATTGTGGTTAAAAAGCACATAATGCAAAAAACTATCTTAACTGTTCTAAGTGTACGTTTTAGCAGATGTCTGTGCAGCCATCACTACTATACACTGCATAACTTGTTCATTATCCCAACCCGAAATTCTACACTTCCTGAACAATAACTCCCCACTCTCCCCTCCACTCCATGCCTGGCAACCTCTGTTCTTCTTTCTCATGTAAGTGAAATCATACAGTATTTGTCCTTTGGTGTCTGGCTTATTCTACCTTGGGAACTGGGTTTTATGCGTATTTCTCTAACAGGTTGCTTTCGGGGATGGTATTGATAAAAATTTTTAAATTGTCCAAAGCCCCGAGTCTGAAATCATGTATGCAGAAGTGCTAGTCTTTATTAAACCAAGTGACTAAAACGAGGTGGCATTTTAAGAACTCCATATTTGATTGTTGCTGTCATTAAAAAAAAAAAGAAAGAAAAAAAATCACTATAGTAAGAAAATTTCCCATACCTGAAATCATAAAGTTTCTTTAAAAATCCACTTTTTTGTCACTGCTACTGCTGGTAGTCTGGTTATGTTGGGAATCGCTGCATGTCTTACTGGCATCTGGGGGTCTCAGCAGGGCTTGAGGGAGGTTTAGCCTCTCCTAATATTAGAATCAAGTTCAGCAGTGTGAGAGTGGGCTTCAGGAGGCAGTAGTATTGACATGTAATTGTCTTAACCCACATGCTTTAATGCTTAGCCCTCACTCAGTCTGTAGCCCTACCCCCACCCCAGCAGCATTTGGGGTCCTCTTCTGGAATCTAATGCAAGTTACAAAGGGAGAAAGACCCCCAGAGAGAGCAAGAGACCCTGTCAGGGGGCAGAAACATGACATTTAAACAGCACAGTTAGGTGTTAGAATGCTGAATCTCCCCCCTTCCCTATCCGAGAATTTCCCCATGCATTGTCTGGATGTCTTCAGAATTGCTCCTTTTGATTTTTCTTAAGATGGTCTGTTCCACCGTTGGGGCTGTGCCACTCTGCGCGGTGGGCTTGGAGATCCTGAGTGGAAAAGGCAACCACAGTGAAAACAATGCCCCGGAGTTACGTGTGGCTTTTGTTTGCCTGTCCCTGTTTACCTACTCACAGCCATGGATCCAGTCTGTTGTGCCGTGTAGTACCGTGAAGTCAGGTATACTAGCGCCCCGTTACATCGAGGGTTAAAAACAAGGATAATACCGACTCCCTGCACCGTCCGTCTTTCCCTAAAAGACACCGCGTGTGTCAGGATGACAGAGAGGGGCACGACCAGACCCACGTGTGGCCGATTCCCCGGTCGGGTCTGCCATGTGCTTTTGCAAGCTGCAAAAGTGTTTGCTCTAAAGCCGCTTTCCCCTGCACCGCCGGCTCCTGCGTTTTGTTATCAGAACCTGGTGCTGCTTTCTTAGGAACGAATTGAAGAAGGAGCCAGGCTGGATCTCATTTTTTGTACATCCTGTGTTGTGAAAATGTATTCTTTAAAAAAAAAAAGAAAGAAAGAAAGAAACGAAAGAAAGAAAGCGAAAGAAGGGGGGGGGGAGAAAAGGTTGCCATCCAGTGGAGGAAGGAGTAATTCCCAGCTTCATTCAGGAAAAAACGCAGGCTGGAATATGCTTAACTATTTTAACTTGGCTGGGGATTTTTATCACCAGAAGGGTTTTTTTAGTGACATCCGGAGCCAAATGGGTGCCGTGTGCCTTTAAGGAAAGAAGTGCCTCACCAAACTTCCCTGTAGTTGTGTCTCACCGTTTGGATAGGGAAGGAAAGTGTTAATTTCTTATTTGTACACTTTTTTTCCCCCGACTTCCTTCCTATTCACTTCATTAAATCTAGAGGCAGTTCAGCATGGGAGCCGTCTGTATGTTGAATTAGGGCTCGCACTCTTGCGCAACACGTCACCAGTCGGAAACTGGGGGTTTGCTTCTGTGATTTATTTCATTATTGTGCTGGTAAAAGGTTTGGAAGGGCATTCTTTTCGGGGTAGTACTTTAGCATTGTGTAGCAAGTTTTTTTTTTTTTTTTTGGTGGCCCCCCCCACCTAGCACTGAGTTGAGTCAGTTGAGCCAGTTTAATAAATAATTTTTTAAATAAAAGAACAGTTTTAAATTTCCATGAATAATTTTTACTTCCATGCAGGAGTAAGCTTACTCTACTTCTTTAAGTGCGAAAAGCACTGGGAAATATTTAGTGAATTGATTTCCATTAGAAAAAGACCCTTAGAAATCCCTGAACATAAAGTACTGCATATGGATGTGTTTGGGGTCTTTGGGGAGGAGGGAAGATGTTTTGTAGCTGACTGCATTCCTGCATAAAACCTTAATTTAAGGGGAATAATGGTCAGTACTTTGTGTGTTTCCTTGTGATTTCCAGGACCTAAATTTAATATGAATCTGCACGTATTAGCAATTGTCATAAACATTGTTTCCACTAGTTCTTTTTGCAATTTGTTTTCGCTTCTTAGCTACTCCCAGATTCAGAGATTGATAAATCCAAATATCACAAGCTTGTGCTTTGTTCCGTTTTTGTTTTGTTTTTTCAAAATTAAGGGGAGGGGGGTGAGCTTAGAACTATCCTTTTCACAACTTCCCCCTCTTCATGTATCCCACTGAAAAGAAAAACAATGAAAAATTTTACAGCAGGAAAGTGAAAGGGAAGTGTCACAGTTGTTCGGGATTTTCTTTAAGGAGAAAGAATGACATTGTATTAAAATGTTTGAAATTGAGAACATGCACATTGCTTTTACTGACATGTATTTAATGAAAAAAAATTCTTTTATTAAAAAAAAAATCATCTTAGATTGCTCCAAAAACATGCAGTCTATTTTTTAAGCACTAAAATGAGGTTTAAAATACCAAAGAAAAAAAGCATAAATTGCTTTTAAATTTTTAAAATAAATTTGAATATTAATTTGGTTTTTTTTATTGGCTTAATTGTTAAAATGAGAGTAAGAATCAGAAACCATCTGAGCTAAAAATCTCTAATTCTGCTGCCTGGAATAATAAGGGGGAAAAATATGATAAGTAGTTGTCAATATTAAAACAGGCTGAAGGAGGAAGGCTTCGGGCCTTGTAGTAGGTAGAATGAAACAGCAGATTTGAGTATCCACAATCCTTTCAGTATTAAATTTTCAGTAAAATAAAATTACTTGTATATGAAAACATAGCCTTTCCCCAGCTCTCTTTTTTTTCCTGATCAGCTGATGAAGAGACTAGCAGCTCGCTGCTTTGCTGGCTTGTTAATTTTATCCCCACTAACTGTGATTTCCGATAGCCGGCCTGCTGATAGTGGTAAGGTAAATATCCTTTTTCGTTGCCGTCTTGAAGATTCAGTAGAACTACATCCCAGGCATGTGTAGGTGTGTAACACATCAAAAGCCGGTGTTCTCCGTATTTCTGTGTGCAACTGGGTGCTTGAGGAGAGCAGTACCATTAACTGTTGACAGCCTTGCATGCTGTATTTATTATTAGCATGTTCAGTCTCCAAGATTTGCGGGACAATTTCCTTTTCTTAATCTTCGCTTAGCTGCAGTGTGTTTAGCTGTATAGTGGGTGTCCTGCTTTTAGGCAAATGAATATTAATGAAATAATGTGGAGCTTTTTTTTTTTTCCTTTTTTTTTTCTTTTTTCCTCATAACTCATCAGATCTCGCCTCCTTCATAGTGGTTATCTGAACACTGTAGGATCGTGATGGAAATTGTCTTTTGATTATTAAGGCCTAGCCTCAGACTGTCCCTTAGGATTCTGTCTCTGTGCATGTTGCTTCTGTGGGTTTGCACATTGGAGGATGCATAGAAAACATTCTTTTAATCCCACTAGCATTTTTAACATGCCAGGTTGTTTTGTGTTCTGCACCAGGTTTTCTTCATAAAACCTTTCTTTTTCAGGAGGCATTGTACACAAGTGAAAGAAATTATGTCTGAGCTGTAATCACTCTTTATATTGATTGTTATACTCACATGATCATAAATATTAGCCATGTTTGGTGCTGTGGAGAAATGAAGGTAATTGCTTTATGATTAGGGCTCTTTCAGCTACGAGAAAGGATTGATTAGCATTTGCATACTGGAAGCAATATTGAGAGGCAGGAGGAACAAATAACAACATCAGTTATTCTGTGTGAGAAAGCAATCTTGAAATGTAATTTAAAGGTTTTTTTAAAAAAATTTTCTTTTTCGTGGTCAAATTTTCTTTTATCTATTTTTTTTATTGCAGTTTTTCTTTTATTTTTCTTAAGTTTTGAGATTTATCAGGGTGGGGGGAAGAAAAGTTTAAACTTCTGGGTCTGTCACATGGATCTTTTAGCCATTTACGAACAGGTTTCTTTTATACCTGGTTGTTTTTATAGCTATTTTATTATCTCTCTGCATTAGTGCTGCTGGCTCTGGTTTAAAGCAAGCGTTTGCAGGTAATTGGAAAAAAGTGTTTGTTGTTTGTGAGTGTGTGTGTTCTTTATCAGATGATTTAAGTGCGTTTACCAAGGAATGTGGCTTTGTACTTCCTGTTTCCTTGTTTACTAATTGCTACGTTAGAACAAAAATCTGGATGGAATTCTGATTTATGTTGTGAATCATGAGTAAATTGATGTAAAACCTCAAAAAAGGGTCAGAGCTTATATGATTGTAAGGATGTTTTCTTACAGGGATTTTTTTCTTCACCCATCCCTTGTTTTGTTTTGTTTTACTGTTCTCCTCCCCCCACCCCCTTTACAGTAATGAGACAATTAAGGTCTTTTTCTTACATTGAGCTAAAATTTCATTTGGATTCAGTTATCTTTCAGACACTTAAATGTATAGCTCTTTTTGTACTCGTCATTTCTTCTCACAATTAGTGTTTCCGGCTTTCAACATATTTTGTTCACGGGTTAGACTTGGTTTTAAGATGCATTGATTCAATATGGCGGTCTTTGCTCTTTCTTCTTACTTGACTGGTTACTGTTAACTTCTATTTTTTTTATTATTTGATTTTTGTTAGTTTAATTTTATTCTTACTACTCAGGTTGGCTTTTTAAAATTTTCTTAGTGATTCTCTTGTCTTGAATTTTCTTCCTTCGTTCCCTGCTACACCAGGCCATTGAAGACGGCAATTTGGAAGAAATGGAAGAGGAAGTACGGCTCAAGAAGCGAAAAAGACGAAGAAATGTGGATAAAGATCCGGCAAAAGAAGATGTGGAAAAAGCCAAGAAGAGGAGAGGCCGCCCTCCAGCTGAGAAACTATCCCCAAATCCCCCCAAACTGACGAAGCAGATGAACGCCATCATCGATACTGTGATAAACTACAAGGACAGGTGAGTGTTTCACTCTTAAACCTTGATCATCTTCCCCAAGAGTACGATTGATAATTCACCACAGAGCAAGATTTAGGAAGGTGTGTACTGGGGCCTTAAGGTTCTTTCTACTTTCATGTTTCACAGCTTTTGCCCCAAAGGTGTCAGAAACTTTGTACCATGTTCACAATGGCTGCTCTTGCTATTTGGGATGCTATTTTACCAGCTATTATTTGAGATATTTGGAAATAGTTTAGATTACAAAATTAAAGTCTAAGCTGGAGGAGGATTCTTAAGGATCTCTAAAATACCATCCTTTATGGGGAAGAATTTGGAATGGTAGCGTGAAATTCTACTTTTGGGCTGAGTTGTTAGGGAGAGAAGAATCCTAGCATACTTAAGGTAAATATTTCATGTCAAGACTCTGTTGAAAACCAAACAGATGCTTCGTCAAAAATACCATTCCTTCTTTCCTTCCAACACACTTGAATATCTGAGTGCTTGTTTGAACCATCTCCTTCTTCATAATGATACTACTTAGCATGGCATTTCAGCAGATGTAACTCGTTTTCATGGAACTTTTCAGTGTGATTGTTAAGAAATCTGTGCTGGACACTATTATCCCCAGACCTGTGTCTGTCAGCCCAATATAGTAGATAAACTAGTTAGGCTACATTTTGGGTAGTTGTTTTGGTTTCTGCTTGATAATCATGTGATGCAGTTTTCATAGGAAGATCACCTCTCCTTCCAGTTGAAGAATTAGGAAACAAAAGAATTAAACATTGTATTTCTCTTGATGGCAGAGTGGCATTGATCAGTTTTTGGTTACCATTTTTTTTTTTTACATTAACTAGCGTTGCTCTGTACACCTGGGAGTATTTAACATGAATAACTAAGTTGTGATTTTAGTTTCTCATTGTGACTTTAGTGCATGTGTATTACCAGGAAGAAAACCTCGTAATAAAGATGAAGTAGTATAAAAAGGAAGAAACTTTCCACCTAGAGGTTTTTTTGTTAGGTCTAAGTTATATTTTCTGTAAGAAGTCTCCAGAAATGTTGAAAAGTGGTAGGAGGAGGTGTGTGTGAAAGAGTCAGAATTTCATGCCCCTCTTTGTGTCCCAGATTTTTTAGGTTCTCTGCTTACT